TTTAGAGAGGGAACTGGGGTCAGGTCTGCTAGACCTGGAGCAACTTCTTTGCGCTTCAGTGCTCTGGGGATGATTTAATGGTATCATCCAGGTAAATCTTTTCTGCAATCTTCAGGTGAGAACTATTACTATTCTTTATTTACAGAAAGGTCCAGAGAGGCAAAGTTTCTTGCTCAAGGCCACACAGCTAGTGAGTGCATAAGCCAGATTCAAATCCAGGGAGCCTGGCATCACAGTTGCCTGCTTCTCTGATGACCCCAGTGCAGCAGCCCAGAGTCCTGGTGAAGCCTGGAGAGGGTCCATGGAGGGTACCCCTCTCCCCAAATGTGATCCTACCCTCCATGAGCCCAGCTGAGGTGAATTATATCGGCATGATCATATGGCCGGTGGCCCAGCATGTAGCACATGGCCAGCTGCTGTGACCTGTGGGGATCTACAACCACCCCTCCATCCAGTTCCAGGGTACCCTTATCACAAAATCTGCCACTCACCATAGTAAAATGGGTCAGGTTCCTGAGGAACTGTGGGAAGAAGGCAGAGAAAAAGAGGGAAAAATTTTTTCAACACTGGGCTCAACATTTTTTTAGGATCCTGATGGGGCCACTGGCCCAGTGGTTTCTGTGTAGAAATATGACCATCAGACCCTTTGCTCTGGATGATGTAGCCTCATGGCAGGACATAAAGTTTTAAGAGAAGAGCCACCACTCACTCCACTGGTCGATATCTTCCCTTGTACAGTGCACAACCTACCTAACCGTACATGGCAGTCTTGGTCCTAGCCCCCTGTGGAGGTCTGATGCGAACATGGACTCTTTTCCTGAAAAACACATATACACTCCCACTGGCATATGATGGGAGTGAACACACTCCAATCTCACTTGTGGACTGCTGAGGGTATCAGCTTCCCCCAAACACTCCCTAAAACTTCTCAGTCATCTGAGGGCTCTAAAAGGCAGGCACTGTGGCTTCTGCTCTCATCCACATGCTCCTGCCACTAAATCCAGCAGAGTGGAGCTGTCCAATAACTCAAGTTATATATATCCTATGTTACTTATTTCTCAGACCCCATCAATTTTTAAGATTCAAAATTGACTCTGTAACTACTTTCCCAGTGTGTGTGTATGTGTGCATGTGTATATAACTGTACCATGTGAAACATACCCACCTATTAGAAGACTCACCTTGATTTCATCAGTGTTAATATGTGGATAAAATGTGTGTGTGTGTCTGTGCATTTACTTTTCCTAGTCTCCCACCTCCCTGTCTCAAACCATATTCCCCTTCAGGAGAGCTCAGAACATCCTTCCCGTTCAAGAAGCCCTACCCTGATGCTTCCCTAATTCCTCTGACAGCTCTTAGTGCATTCTGCCCTGTCTAGAGCAGAATTCTGCAAAGCATGCACCACTGGGGGGTGAGGGGATACCAGGAGGGCCAGGGCAAAGCCAGAGGTCTTCATTAGTGCTCAGGGAGGATGGCTAACTTGAGGTTGGGAAGGGGGTATGTTTACTAATTCTGGCCAATGGACTGTGAGTGGAAGTGCCATCGTCACTTCCGGTTTGCAGCATTTTAAGTGCCCATGCAAGAGCTCTCTTTTGCCTTTGGCCTGGTGACATGAATGTTCAAGTTCGTGGCTGCTCCAGTTTTCCTTAGGGAGTAGAGATCCCTAGTCGGCCAGTGATGGATATATCATGTAAGTGAGAAATCAACTTTGGTTGTCAGAAACCACTGAGATCTTTGGTACTATTTGTTATCACAGCATACTCTAACTTAAACTGACTGATTCAGGCAGCACCCAGGCAAGACCCTGAATAACACTGATTCATAGTGTGTAAGTTCGCCCTTCTCAGTTTCCTGTCCAGTCCTCAAAGGGGAAGTCTTAAATAGTTACTGATGTGTTTGTACGCCTCTTAATCTCCCAAGAGAAAACAGGCCTTGGGCCAAGGGCCTTCAGCAGGCAACAATTCCTAAGTAGAATTTCATGACATTATTTGGTTTTCGCCTTTATTTATCTAAACAGCATTTGATAGCACCAAATCCACACCAGGCTCTTTTCTAAGCACTTTACAGATATTAACACACAATCTTCATAGCAGCTCTCTGATATAGGTGCTATCCTCATTCTCATTCCACAAAAAAGGGACACTGAGGCCCAGAAAAGTGTAATCACTTGTTTAAGATCATTTGAATACTTGCCTTCAATGTAAGGCAAAAAAAAATCCTGGTATTTCCATTAGTGATAATGATATAAAATAAAGCTAAAGAAGTTGTTTAAGAGTTAATCCTTTGAAGAAAAAATGTTAAATAAATGTCAGTGTGGGGAACTTTTGAATAGGGCAAAAATCATGAAGTTGGTACTCACAAGCATCAAGATGGGGAAACATTTTAAAGTCATCTATGAGCTTAGCTACCCCATCAGATGGAGAGTAAATTCACTTGACTCATCTCTGCAGTTGATTCCAGTATTTATAAAAGTCTTTCAAAAAATTTCCTAGAATGAAAGAATGAATGAATGAATGAATGTGAGCATCTGGCTAGCCTGCAGGAAGCTATGTATCAGAACTGGAGCAGTTGGATTATCTTGCTTTTGTCTCCTGTGTCTCCACACACCCTGCCTCCCAAACCATCAGAAGCCCACTTGGTGAGCACTTGCCCTAGAATCCTCTTTGGTTCCTCCCTGGGTGCTCCCTGCTCCATGCAGAAGTTCCTCCTTTGGTCCCTGCTGCCACAGCAATCTGGGTCCTCAGGGTGAAGCTGGGCTAAGGGTGGAGCCAGGAGACAGGAGAAGGAATGTGCACCACTCCTGGCCAGTTGCCAGGGAGACATCAGGAAGGAGGTGGTTACTATGGCAACTGGGGCATCTTGAGAGGTGATGGGTCTGGGTACCTTAGGCTGGGTGGGGTCCTGTGTGGGACTTGAGGGGTTGGGTTTCTAACTCTGGAGCCAAACTTGACTCCCCCTGCTCCCTCTGTACTTCCGATCATTGCCCCTGCAGGACTGGCTTCTAGCCAGGGATAGGGACCCAGGCCCAGTTATGCTCCCACATCTCCTTTCTGTTTGCCCCCCATCATACCCTCCTGCTCTCTGACTAGGAGGGGTGAGTGTGGAGGGAGCCACTCGCCCCTCTCTCCCCAACAATCCATTAATTAATTTCATTAAGTGATTTGCAACAGCCAGTATGTGTTTCCTTCCCCCACCCCGGGGTTTCCCAAGATCTGTGGTCCACTCTCATGCTGTGACTGGGGAAAAGGGGTGAGTGTGTGTGTGTGTGTGTGTGTGTGTGTGTGTGTAAAGAGGGGATGATTGAGGCATCTGTCCTCCCACCTCTGCCGGTCTGCTGCCATCGATCCTGCTAACCACTATCTCCGCGAAAAGAAGCCCTGGGCTCCCGCCAGGCCTGCTGCCTCAGCCCTGCCCCCCCTCCCTAGGGTGGCTTCCAGCCTCTGCAACCGCCCCCCCACCCCCCCACCGCCCTGCTTCAAATTCTGCAGATATGGCTCAGTGCAGCAGCCCCCGCCTGCCGGGAAAGGGGGCAGGGGAGAAAAGATGAGAGTGGAATTGGGGTTCCCTTCTCCACCAGGGGCTCCTCAGGTCCGTTGGCCTATCCCCTGGCCCTGCTGTCAGTGCTAGAGACCCTCTCCCTGCCCACCTCTCCCCCACCATGAAAGCATTATTTCCCTCACTCCTCCGCAAAACTAGGCTCAAGAAAGGGGGCTGTTAGGGGGGAGTGAGTGTTTCAGCGGATGCCTAACTGGGTTAGTGGTGTGAAATGTAAATCTCTGTGTGGCTGGATGGAGGTGGGGAGGGGGCATGTGTGTGCACATCCGAGTGCACCTCCCGGACCAGAGAACACCCCTGGATGTGGGCTGGGAAGGAGGGTCCTCCCACCCACTGCTTCCCGGGGCGTGGGGGTGGGGGGGCTCACTGCAGTAGCGCGGGCCCCACCCTGCGCTGCCCCTCCTTCTCTTTTCTATTTCTCTCTCACACTGTGGGTCTATCTCTTTTTCTTCCCCTGTGTTTTTGCCTCGCTCTCCATAGTTGCCTCAGTCTATATCTCTTTCAGGCTCTCTCAGTCAGTCTCTTTCTATGTTCCTTTCTGTCCCCCTTCTCTCACTCTGTCTCTCCCCATCTCTGTCTCATTTCCTCCAGCTCGCGTCTTTCCCTCATTCTCCCCACTTCCCGCTGAACTTGCCTGTCAGGGATTTCAGGAAACACCCACCATAGGGGCCAGCACCAGAAAAAAGAGGGCTATGGAGCCTCTCCCCTTACCCACCCCAAGGACCCTGAAATCTGCGAGAACCTCTGTGGCTGCAGACCCACCCGCTGGAAGCCCATCTTGTCGAGTCCACTACCACCGCTCTGCTGGACCAGCCACCCGGTTGCCATAGCTACCGGTCCGAGCATCCTTTCTCCCGGGACTGCCGCTCTCCAACCGCGGGTCCCGCACAGGAACGACACCATCGGGAGGGGGTGTCCAAGAGGCCCAGAGGGGTGTCAAGGGGTGCATTGCAGGCGCCGCCGCCCATGGGAGGAGGAGGAGCGGACATCCCCCTCCCCACTCCCCTCCTCTTCCATTACTGAGATCTCCCCAGATCCTCTCTCCTAAGCTCTAAGATCTCGGAGCCCACCCTGCGCCCTCTCCCAAGCGACGCTCACCCTTTGTAGGGACCTCAGTCGGGGTCGCCATGCCGGGCTGGAGCAGGGGGCAGCTGGATGCCGAGGCAGTGAAGGCGCGGCTGCAGCAGCTGGAAGCGGGACAGACTGATGTGGGGGGTAGATGGTGGGAGCCCTGGTGTGGGGGGGGGGCCGTAGCCAATGGGGGGCCCAGAGAGCCCGCCCCCGTCCCGGTCACCCCCGCCCCCGCTCCCGCCCACTGCCGACGTCCCCGC